TGAAAGCTATCAACTATTAAAAAATCAACCAATGAGGTTTTAATTGATAGCAAAACCAATATGACTATTGACTTAAAATATTCCCGATGTCTTAATAGCTGCTATGTATCAGGAATCAGAATATAGATTTGTATGAACTATGTGTTACATAACTTTATCCGGATATGTAGGTATGATGGTGTTGAAAGGTGCTTTAACTGTCAAATGTAACATTCATTATTAAATACAATTGCGAGAAAATCTACAATAATAGACAATAATTATCATTATTGTGATAATATGAGATATAATTGTACCTACACCTAGTTAATTGTTGTTTATTATTAGTGAGAAATACTTAATCTTAATAAAAAATATCTAGATATAATACCATTTTAAACACTAAAATTGTGATTTTTATTTTCATTTGACAGTATAAAAAAAGTATTAGGATATAAATTGCTGACTGACATTATTATATGTATGTAGACTACTAACTCGTACAGGTAATATAATCAGCAGTAATTTTGATAGCATTCTATAATATTCGACATAGATATTTACATATCACTAGGTAAATAACGGATTACCTACGGATTACATTAGTTAATCTACATGATAACATTCTTTTAGTATAAATCATATCATTTTTAACCTAAAAATCATATATTTTTGAAGGCAATAAACATCTGTCACACTTTGTAGCTGTGTTGCTAGGTTTATTATTTTGATTTTTTAGGTGTAAAAAATCGGCAAACGAGCCTACGGATTATCCGATGGTAAGCAATTGGCGCCGCCCATGGACACCCGAAACGCCAGAGGATATCGAGGATTAGGAATTCGGAGATTTATGGATTGAGGAGGGATGGGGGGAAGGGTTGGGCCTCCGGTAATCTCAGTCTCGCGGCGAAACACAATCCAAAGGTTGTTTCACGCCGGATTTCTGTGAGACCGGTATCATGGTATCATTCCGGTCGAACAATTCGTGCCGAAGCTTGGCCCTCACACACTGTCCACATTTTTGATACGATTTTAGAGACTGGATTTTTTTTATTATTATTTATCTGTAGAACTAATTTACTATGATTGAGGAACAGACACTCATCATGTTTTTCTTTAGAAAGGTTATTGATAAAATCGTGAGGCTAACAAAAATACACTGAGTCATAGCTTCTTACACGGGCCATTGGCCTGTTTTTTGTGGCCTGCAGTACATCACATCGAGTGCTCCTATTAACTACGATATTAAACTGTAGTGAGTAATACATTTTTTATATCATATCAAAACACACACTAAAAACGGCGGTTATTTTTTAAATTAAGAATGATCAACCGTTAGCGTGTCAATCATTACGCGATAGATGTCGTCTTCGATTAGTAAATTAAAATTAATATTGTTGACAGTTGAATGGTCTGTCAAGAGGACATTTGTACAATACCGCCGACGTATCTTGACGAGTCTGAAATTAGCTGATTAGCTGCGCAGTACACAATTTTGTTCCTAAAAGATCCATTGCGCAGACAAACGGCTACCTTCAGACTCGCCAAGATACGGCGGCCGTACTGTAATGGTAATAGGGTAGTTCCCAACTAGTCAATATATATGGGTGTATGTGTATTAAATGCCCGTTTTTTTACCCCACACTAGGTTTTTCTCCTGTGTCGCTAGTGGAACGCGGAACAACAATTTGTGGATCACACAAAGAGCCTGCGAGCCTGGCCTCCGCGACAATTGTAGAGTCTGCGACGTGGTCCAATCTCCAAAGTATAACGTCATAAAATTTTAGCGTCAAAAGCATATTTATTTAATAATAATATTAAGTATTTCGAAAAAAATATGAATACAGATGTAATTATTTTTGGGTATTTGAATTTATTTTGAATGGTTTTCTAATTTGAATTTTTTTTTCACCCATTAAACTATGCAATTATATGAAAAACACGAAACTGGGTATCTAAATAATTCCGATATATATGTGGTTAAATTCTAGTAATCAGCAAAGAGCAATAATTTTTTGTCCTCCAACCGACATAAAAAAAATTTGGTCGTCGAATATCTCAGGAATGCGGAAAATGACAAAGTTTTACAGAACAAAAGGAAACATAAAATTCAACAGGCCGGCAACTATTTAAGTTATATTGTTTACAGAGCGTTGTCGAAGCAATATAATGTTAACTAATAATAACGTTAACTAATAATAATTAGTTAGTTTTAACTTAACAAAGGGAACGGCTGGGCACTGATTTACTTCACACGTGATTTTAATAAAGAAAAAATGTCGCCATTAGGTACATATTATTCCCTAGTACCTAATTGTCAACAAAATCTCGCGCGGTTTCCATTTTTGAAATAAATAAAACGCCATTTACTTTTTTCTTTTTTTTAAATTTGGAATCGTAATTCGAAAAATGTATATTTATGTGCGTATATCCGTATGTGAGATACAGACTGAACTTTGAACGGAACTTTGAAAAAATAACCGTACGGAAAACGTATTAAAATGATATACTCGAAATAACGCAAAATCGCTAACACCCAGGATATATCTCCAAATAAATCTTTGAGTGGGCATTCTGGAAAAGGATATGTCTAACTAGATTCATTCTGCAGATACATGTACCTAATATAACTAAAGGACGCAATTGGACAGATTGTTGCGTAGGAGATGGGCAGAACCCATTTCCTTTAGCTATTTATAAACGATGACTGACTGGATTTTATTGATAAATGGCCAAAAACGGAGGCCTCAAATGGGACAATCAATTACTTACGAATTTAACAAAGTACTTACTGCAGTGGCCAGTCACAACGCAACGCGTTGCGAACTTTTTTGTTCGAACCTCATTAGATTTAAATTGTTGTCTTTAAATTCATTCGATTGTTGTTGGTGTTCTTATTTTAAATTTTGTTCGAAATATATTTAATTTTAGAATCACAGTCCCATTTCATCAGCTGTTTATTATCTTATCTAGCCATTGGTTGTCGTAAGCGTGTATACAAACACGAGCAAATAATCACATCACCCGAAAACAATGTCGTAGGTATCATTCAGAAGCCTTTCTTCCATCAACAAACGTCTGTTTGTATAAATCATTTTTGATGCTATTGTCGTCTCGTCTTAGGTAATCTTCTCAATGTGTACCAGACGTTCGTCTTTCATAGATTCTTATGACGTAATGCCTTTTAAGTATCAATAATAAAAATATCATAACATATTTTTAGAAGTACTACGCCACACAGCGAAAGGGAGACGGGAAGCTTTCACATGTATGGGTAATCCTTTCACTCATCCATAAACCAAACAATCTAACAAACACCGTAAAATGAATCATAAAATCAATTGCATGTAGCTTAGTTTCGATTGTGCAGATGCATTGAACTCTATCTGTCAAACTCAATCGATAGTCAAAAAAAAGATGGCCGATTGTAGCTTCAGTCGTAATCGTAATACAGTAATTAGTGGTTAGAAAGTTATTTGTGTAATAATAACAACTTATGGAAGAGGAAGGAGGAAAATTGTTTTTACAGATGCTTTCAGTACATAAAATGTCTAGTCTACTAATCCGACCGCTACTTGTCTAGCTTCGAAGTAATAATAATTGGTCCAGGACTAAATACTGACGCAACTTGTATATTTTGTATTACATGCTTGGTTACGTGGTGAAACAAAATTCACACATAATCTGACACGTACATACTTATTTTTGAAATACAACCTAAGCAAACAAGCTTTTCTAGTTTCAATTTACAACGGGACACTTATTCACGTAAATAAGTTGTTATTTTCAATGAATATAGTGTCTCACGATAGTTACTATACAATAACGTATAAGTATTTGTACCTACCTACATATATAATGTCTAATCAACAAGAAATAAGATTCATTTTGGCATTTCTCCAGGAGTGAAAGTAATCAATTACTGTCTAATATTCGTATAAAACGAGTATGTGGTATTTATCAGAGAAACAACATCGAAACATTTTAAATAAAAATTAAGAGAACTTTCGTATAAAAATTCCATTGATAATATTTATAATTATTAGGTACGTTTTTCTTCAGTGAATTTTGTTCGACAAAACAACAAAAAGGTGCTACACAATTTCGAAGAGATACAAATAAAATACTTTCTTATGTCACTAGATAAATGTAGGTACTTCCATCTAGCTCTATCAGAAAAATTACGTATCAAAGCAATGCTATAATTAGACAAATAAGTAATTGCAATAGTCACTTATTTATAAACGGAACCCGTAAATCTTTCCATGATTGTAGTTCCATCTTTATTTGTTTATAAATCTACCTTATAAGGTTTTACAATTATTTAACAACGTCCATTATATATCGTATAATAAGATAAGTTGTTGTTATAAATCAATAATACGTAATTAGAATCTACTGTAATATTATACTGACAGGCTAAGAAATATCTGCCAAGACACTACAAACAAAGAGGTTTAAATATTAATCCAAGATTTCTATTGCAAAAGGACTTGCTTTTTAACGTTAATTTAGCGTTCTAAATTTAAAAAAAGTCAGATTGCGCGGGAAAAATTAATGGCGGAAGATAGCATCGAAGCCATCTTCTAGAAAACGCTCAGGTAATATTGTAGCGAATGCAAAGAATAATTAATTAATTGTAATTAAAGTCAGTTCTGCAGGTAGTTTTATCTCAACATCAGACGTATGTCATGTATCAGTTTTCCCAATGATATCATTGTTACCTACCTCTATGTACTTATTACCGTAACTATAGACAAATTATGACAAACGATATAGTCGTTGCTTATGATTTTTTCCTTTGCAGTATAAGTTAAACAGAAATTAATTTTCAGGTAGAAACAATTACAATTATTTTTGTAAAAAAAAATAAAGTAGATATAACCACACAAACATCTAAGGGTCTGTTCACACAGACCGGCTCGGAGAGCATCGGCGCGCATTTTTCTTTTCACACAGACCGGATCGTATACGCTTGGAGTTGGTCGGAGCGGAGTCGTCAACTATTCCACATAGACCGGCTAGAATCGGCCTGAAAGCGGATGCGCTCGGAGCCGATCGGATGTGCTCGCAGCCGGTCGGATACGCTCGCAGCCGGTCGGATGCGCTCGCAGCCGGTCGGATGCGCTCGGAGCCGGTCGGATGCGCTCGGAGCCGGGTGGATACACTGCAAAGGCAGTACCAGTATTCCACGCAGTCCAAGTTTTGTTTTCGGTGTTAACGTGTGCTTTTCGGAACATGGATTTAGATAGCTCCGATGAAGAAATATATTTGCTAGCAAGATTGTTTGAAGCTGAACAAAACAAACGAAAGCGCAAGCGAAGACAAATATGGGCAAAAAATATTTGGAAGAATCGATTAATCCATGGGGAGTTTCACACCATTTTCGAGGAATTGAAGAATGACAGCCTTAAATTTAAAAAGAATAGATTATAACGATCTTGGTTCCCGGTACGAAAATAATCAGAAAATATTTTATGAGGAGAAGAAATGCTAAATAGTTTCCACTTCCCTCTTCGTACCTGTAAATAATTCACAAATCTATATCCTAAAAGAAATCCAGTACCGTACAGACAATCACATAAAAACTACCTCAAAAAAAGACAACACAAAACTTATCCCAAATTAAAAATAATGTCAAACATCCCGTACCAGTACCTAAAAAAAGCTTAAAAAATACTTAAGAAAATAAACAAACAAATAGTGAAGTGCAAGCGACAAACATGACATGAAAAGCCTTTTCAACCAATAAATAAGATAGTGAGGTGCACCAATGTAAATGAAGTGCTGACCCATGCTATAAACCTTTACAGTAAAGGTATAATGTGCCAATAGGATAACCTATGGCCTGAATGCTACTTTAATAGCACATCCTCTTATGGGATAACAATATGATGGAAGAGGATCGCTTGAGTGTATAAAGGATATCAATATTGGTACGCAGCATGCTGACATCGCCTTAAAATAAAATAAAAATAGGACATACACGTACAAAATACATAAAACATTAACTTCCTTTTAAACCCCAACGAATTCTCTCCACATCCAAAACAAACCCTTCAGAGGCTGCTAATAAAGTAGCTTTTTCGAATTCTTATTTTGTAGTCAATTCGTGACGTCACAGTGCAGTAAGCCCCTCATGCCATGCGTGGCGCTTACCCTGCACTGGCCTGGGGCCTGGTCTCGCTGCTGCCGAAGTCTCACCCTTGGCTTCGGGAGCCGCGGCCTCACCGGATTCTACATCTGCAATAATACTATGGTGTGAATAAACTACTTCAAAAAAACCTTCCTTAGAAAAAGATTAAATCAACTAAAACTAAAAGAAAACATTGTTCAGTACATTGTTCATTCTTTGAAGTTAATGATGCAAAATGTCTATTAAAATGATAAATCACGGCTACTTTCATTTACAAATGCAGCCACATTAATATAAATCAAGACTTCATTAAGTCCTCGAATTAAAACGCTATCAAGTCCAATTCGTTGTTAAAGTAGAAAGTTAATGAAATGATAACAGTGTTTTAATACACATGTATTTAGAGATGGTTAACACAACCATCTTTAAAGCTTTAAAGCGAATAGGCAGACATGATTATAATCGCTAGTGGCGCCGTTTATTAAGAACTAATACGTCAATTTTACTCAAGTTCGCTAGGCTGTCCTTTATAACTGTACAACGCAGTCTATAGGGAGTTACTTTATTAATGTATTCAATGATTGACTGCCCTACTTGAGATTAGACGTATCAATCTTTCATTCAGTTCAATAATAGGTATGAATCAATATTGATTTATATGAGTTAATCCAGCCAGAACTTGTGATAAGTCGATCAACCATTACGATTATCTCCCAAAATGAACTAAACTTCAGATTTTGGTACTTCAATCTTCATTTGAGTTATTGTATTAGGCATACTCCATTAAATTGCGGTATGTGGTTTGTTTCCTCTAGTCCATGATATAATTTGTTAATTTTATATGGACTAGCTCTAAGCTTGCGGTTTTAGTCGCGTTTTCCCTTAATATAAAGATACATTAAACGATGCAGATGTGCTATGAATTCAAGTCCGTTTTCGTTGCTTTTAAAATAATTTAGACAAAGTAAGAACAAAAGTAACTTTACAAACATTGTACCTACATTAACATGGCTGTCATTGTAATCATTCAATTCTAATCTTCCCAAGAGTAATTAAGTACTAGAAAAATCCTAAAATCGTTAAGTATCACCGTCATCGGTCAGCGCGCACGCTGGCAGTCTGCGGGATTCCCAACCATTATTAATTAGCCAAAATTACATAGTTAAACAATTCGAAATAAAACAACTGCATCATTATGAATGATCATTTTATTTTATAATGACTCGAGTCGAGCATTAGTGGTAACCCCAACTAATTTGAGCGTACTTACGTTTTAGGTTTTTTCCGAATCAATTATTTACGGGTCAAAAATAAGTTTTTAAAATCTAATGCGTATTGTTGGTGATTTCCGACTACTGACTATATTATTATATTTTTAAGTAGGTATAAGTACAGCAACTATAAATGCAGAATTCTCATAATTCACGCCAGGTGTTAATAAAACTGAACAAGTATGAAGAAATTATGAAAAAAGTCAGATTTCTGTGCTAGATTTTAGACAAGACTGAGGCTACAACTTCTGTTCTCTAGGACAGTTATGGTCAAAATGCATCTGAAATTCCCTTGAATCCCCCGTCTACGGTGAAAGAGATCTTTGTAAGAATTTTCCACTTTAAGTCCAATATAAAAGCAAAAAATTAATAAGACGATGTACCTACTTCTAGCCTTCAAGAGCTTATGCAAACAATTTATAATTTTCGTCAAACAATGTGCACATTTTTTGTCCCGAAACCCTACTCAATCATTTTGATTAAATCAATTCTGTACATCATTATTGCCCTAAGTATTACTTACAAAAACGCGTACCTATCAATTATGAAAATAATGTATCGGCATAATAATAATTTGTTATTATATTTCAGTAATTATTTGTAATGAGTTTGTTTTGACGTTTCAACAAACATTCCATTATTTTTGTTGGTGGAAAAACGAATTATTGTCCTTTTCGCATACTGTAGTTTTTTGTTTGTTTTTTCTTTAGGTAATTCCCTTTGGCAAGCTAGGGAGATACAGTAGTGTATTTTCGTAGATTAGCAAAATACCAAAAGCAATCTTACTACATTGCATTAAGGTAAATAATCTCACTACATAAATATAATATCAATGTTATCAGTAGAAATTTCGCAATTCATGTAAAACATGTGTTTCTGATATGATAGGGAATCAAAGTGTAGCAATAATTAAAAGGATTATTTATGTTTTTTTTTGTGATAACCGTTCTGTGTCATTCGTATTGTTGTCTTGAAGTTTATTTGTTCATGAAGTACACTTATAGAAAAAAAATAAAACTCGTAAGGCATTGTGTGTATTAATATAATACCTCATTTTGTAGAAAACTTTTTAATTTACAATCGATTTGAGGAGTGTGCTCGACTTAACTTACTTGTAAATTATTTCTTCTCCAGAGTCCATATACAGTATTTATCGTCAAATCTTAAGACCGTCCATACCACGGAGCAAATACTGAGGAACGTACAGCTAAAATCTACATACCTACATATAAAGAAGGTATATATAAAGTCTGATAACCAGCTAGGTACTTATGTGTAACTTAGATGTGATCGAAAAATACATTACCTAAATAAAAAATGGTGACTTTCCGTTAACTAAGTTCTTTCTTCATAGAATAAAACAGGATACCTAGATACTTTATTATAAAGACTGAAGTCCTTAACTATTAAAATCACGACTGTCATGTCAGTCACGCCATACAAACAATATTTATTTCGCATAAGGAAGATTGTTTTAAATGAAATGAATTAACGAAACACATTCGTTCAATTGGAATCCGAATATATTTGTACTCCAAGATCACACGGAAGATTGTGCACAAGTAATTCATTGGCATCGTTGATTATTTTGTCCTGTGTATCGTTGAATAGTGAAATAATCTATTTTTATTATAAAAAATAACTAGCAGCCCTAACTTCGCGCGCGCGCCTCACAGAGCCAATAGACCACCACAGACGGGGCCCAATAGGGCTGATGTTTAGCTGGGGTTGCGGGGTAAGCGCAATGAAGCACCGTGATCTCGGTCCAGAGCAGGAGAAGGAACGGGGGGGGTTTTTAGTCAGTAAGAGTCTGACACTCCCTCCTGCCCGCCCGGGGCGGGAGAAGTCATTGGATGATGTTCGCCTGACAAAAAAAAAGCCCTAACTTCGCACGGATGCAATGCTGATACTACTCCACTATTCAATGGATATTACATACATATAAACATTACTCGCAAATCACTCTATCCTTTAAAAAAACTTCATCAAAATCCGCAGCGTAGTTTTTAAGATTTAAGCATAGGCTGCATAATATTTATTTATTTATTTATTTATTTCATGCACAAAACACATTACAATCAAATATTATTAGCTTAAAAACTAAAGGTTTTGATCTAGATAGTAACGTAACACTATGTGCATAATGCAAAATTACAAGTTTTAAATATTAAAAAAGCTCAAAAAGGGACAAAAAGAAATAAGAAGTAGAAACTAGAAAACATAAAGTGACGTGTGTCAACAAAAATATGGTTGTTGCCTCTCAACAAAAATATGGGTTGATATGTTAAGATCCCCCAGGCACGGTTTCCAATAACAAAAGGATGTTTATAGAAAGTGACATTGTTTTATACTACGTTGTAAAGTCCCATTTTATTGTAGTATTTAAAGAAAGCTTATTAAATATGTGGACAATTTAGGTGCAATTATGTACCGTGACCCCGGCCTGGAGCGAAGGAACGGGTGGTTTTTAGTCAGTAAGAGTCTGACTAAAAACTACCCGTTTCTTGCCGCATCTAGGGCGGGAGAAATATTTTTAATTAAATACTTTTCACCACTAAAAAGAAATGCAGTTAATTAGAGCCAGCACCATATGATGACAAGAAGTATAGGTAAATTAAATAAGATGTGCAATTATTAAATCGCCTCATAACTAACAAAATCTTAACTTTTTTCCGAGAGTGCTAAACCATTTATTAAAAATCTATCTTCACTTTTCTACTTCAAGCAAATCCATCACATAATACATACCGGTGCTAATTGAACTAGTAGAATTCACAAATAAGGTCGCACCAGGAGATCACAAGACATTGTATTTATTTTCATATTTTTTTTTTTTGCTTTTCGGTACGCTGCACTAGACAAGTCTTTACTCTCTTCTAAGCATTTTAGAAACCAGAGTATCGTAACTTAAGTATATTCGAATTCTTATATGTAATCAAGTAAATAAACCTTATTCTCTGCCTACCTACTTTTGTATTTCAATATTTGTTCAGTAACCGACTAGCGAAGTAAAAGAATTACAATGTGTGCTCACCTTAATATGTAAGAAAGGTAAACGCTAGAAATAATTCAGCCATAAATATTTTATGGGCAATTTCTGTTCAAATATATTACTAGAATTGATATAGTTGTTCGTTACTTTGTTTTAAGAATATTTACTACGTTCAAAAGCTAAGGTTGTCCATGGGCGGCGCCGATCGCTTTCCATCAGGTGATCCGTCTGCTCGTTTGCCACCTATTCCATAAAAAAAAAAACTATTTCTGTTTGTAAGATCCTCTGAAATATGCCTTTAAACGATTATATAATAGTTTTCGGCTGTACTGTTACAAGTTGCAATGCTCATTCAGTATTAGTCAATCATAAACCAGCCTTCATAATACCTGGATAACCACGGTATACAAAATTTAAAACGTAGGTAATTTATATGAACTATGTGCCACATAATCTTGTCAGGTCACTTATGAAGATGGCGAAAAGATATCACAATCTTTATCAGTCGAAACCTGATGACCAACATCAACCTACTCGTAAAATCTTAAGATTAAAATTATAAATTCAGATTCAATTCTACTATTATGTATATGTCACATACTTCTGTCTAAATTCACTAGTAAAACGGATTACCTTGCACAGATCAGTTGCATTTTACTGATACAACTAAACGTTAATAACTACTAATAAGTAACAATTGGTCCGATACAAAACTAGTTAATTATAAAATCATTGCGTTACTTGCATGATCTTCAGGTAATTACAATAGCTGATTGGCAACAGTCCATCACTTGTTACCTGGCATTACTTGTACATATTGAAGCGAGAAGTCGTAACGTCAAGC